TCCATATTACTATTTAAATCTGAATCAATAAGCTTTCTCTACAGCCACAGAGAGCATAAGGATTCCACTCAATTCAACAGGTACATGTTTTTTCACAGTGTGCTAGAGATTTTTTGCTGTTTGTTTTTGGTTCAGACAGTGCTTTGGTGAATTTAAAGAAGTAAAGAAGGGCTGGGGTTGTGGCTGAGTGGTAGAGCACTTGCCCAGCATATGTAAGGCGCTGGGTTTAATTCTCAGCACCACATATAAATAAATAAATAAATTTAAGATCCATAAATAACTAAAAAATATACTTAAAAAAAGAACTAAAAAACAAAGGCAAATAAAGAATAGATGAAAAGCCTTAAGATTCTGGAGAACAAGAACAGAAATCATGCAGGGCACACCTGAGTATAAATGAGGGTTTACACACTAATCCTAAAATGATAGCAACCCTTAAAACTTGAAAAGGGTATATTAGACCAAACACTAATAGTTATTTTTCACATTACACTTACAGAACACAAGACACAAGAAAAGTATGAGTTCCTTCATGGATGACCAAGCTATAATAGGTAAAAGAAAGGAGCTCATGCTGGTCGTTTTCAGTTTGGATTCACTGAGCCATCTCTGTTGTACAACCCTTCATGTCACTCCTGAGGATAGATTAAAAGGCTGGGTAAATCAAAGTCCAGAGCTACTTCTGGGCTCACATAGCAGCTGTGAAGCACCAGCCATCTTGCATGCCCTCTGTTTGCTAATAATTAGCCACCCATGGCATCTGGCAGGGTGGTGGGGGAAGCTCTTAAAATTTAGTTCATTTATATTTGGTATCATCATGGAATTAATATAGTCATTTGAAAATAAATGCACCCAAAAGTAAGGAAGCAGTGAAGCCTAAAAGGAAAAATTGCATATCTAAAAAAATAATAAACAAATAAATAATAATCTTATAAAGGCTGTTTTTCTTTTATATGCTTCAAAGAAATTCGAAGGCAGATTGTCTTGGTTTATATGCTTAAATACTTTTGAGTCACTGGTAGCCATAGCGAAGAAAAGTAATTCTGAATATTTTTTAATGGATTAATTTAAATGGCACTTAGCTATATACTTTACACAAAAGATCGTTACATAAACAATAAAGTGGAAGAACCTGCTCAAATACTTCAGTAACCAGTAAATCAATCAATGATCTACCTATAGTAACTTCCAGACTTTACATATCTATCACAGAGTTTAAACAAATTCAAAATATTGCAGTGATAACATCTGACAGATTTAGGTATTGTTTTATTTTTTAACTACCCTTTCATAGCTATCTTGGGTTTCCAGGTTATATGGCTCATCATATATGACTCTAAGTTTTATTCCTCAGTTAAAAGCGAGAAACTGAGCCAGGTGTGGTGGCACCTGTGTGTAATCCCAGCAGCTCAGGAGGCTGAGGCAGGAGGATAACCAGTTCAAACCCAGCCTCAGCAACTTATCGAGGCCCAAAGCAACTTAGCAAGACTGTCTCAAAACAAATAAAAAGAGCTTGGGATATGGCTCAGTGGTTAAGTGCCCCTGGCTTCAATCTCTGGTTTAAATAAAAAGGGAGGGGTAAGAAACTGAATGGAATGGATAAATAAAAATGAGCATTTAATTGGCTCATTTCTCAAAGATATAATATTTAATAATACTATATTCTTACCCACCCAGAATATATTATCTCCTCTGCAAAGTATTTGTTGTCTATTTGTGTTCTCCATTAGTTTTCTGGATGTTATCAATGTTCATTATTTAAGTAATACTTTGCCCTGTTTTAACCTTCCAAATGTTTACAGGTACAAGAAAATGGCCAATAATATCACAGGGGAGCAAATTTATTCTTCTGTTCTCTCAGTTTAAACATTTGTTTAAAGGTTTGTTCCTTGTTCAGTCACATACTCCATAACTTCAATGCCCCTATTCAAAGACTCTAGGTCCAGTAACAGTGCAAGAGGGAGTGAAGGAATGACACTCCAATCCACAAAGTAGGCTTGGAGAGAGAATTAAGCATAATTTGTAGGAAATGAGCCCCACATTGGTGTTTTGTTTTGTGTTTGTGTGTGTGTGTGTGTGTGTGTGTGTGTGTGGTGCTAGGGATTGAACCCAGGGCCTTGTGCATGTGAGGCAAGCACTCTACCAACTGAGCTATATCCCCAGCCCCACATGGTTTCTTGATAGAACATAATTATAAGTTCTCTGACCAGCTAAGGTTTTTCTCCATGGTTTTTGCAAAACCATTCTAGATTAAGCCTTAGTTGATGGCCAGGATGGCAAATAGGCTTCACATATACCAAGTCCAGTTAATTAGTAGCCTGCCTAGAACTTTGTGTTGAGAAGAATTCTGAGAGCGGATTGACAACACAAATAGACATACTTGCTTTTCATAGTCTTGGATGCTATCAACAAGAAGCTTACCAGATGACAACTTCATGGCTAATAACACAATGAAGTACTGTTAGCTAGCTCATCTACTAATCCAAATATTTTTATATTCTGTAACAGAAAATATTTTGCCCAAGCCAAATTTGTATTACTTGTTACATGTAGCTATTCAAAATATAATAAGATATTTGGAAAAGACATATAGTGACTGATAGGCTTTACAAGAAAGTTTTTTTAACTTGTAAAAATAACTTATGAAGCCATACTTACAGGATCCCCTCCAGAAGCAAATGAAATTGATTGCATATGATGATTTGCAATAATCTGAAAAACATAAACAAACATATATAATACTATAAATTATTATTCCTAGTTATGTATGGTCTTACAGTAATGGACATACATGTATCCATTTTGTTTTTACCTTCTTAGCATTCCTTTGGAAACCACCCCACCATATTCCATAATAATCCATTTTTTATTGCTTTTTGGTACTGGGAATTGAACTCAAGACCTTGCATATGCTAAACACATGTTCTGCCACTGAACCACACAACCCCTCTCCCAAATAATCTAATTCAAACCATTAGAGTCAGGTGGTTTTGACATGCCCATCTCACTGCCCCTCCCTACCTAGATGAACTAGATTCAGGTATATCCAATCAGATATAGCAAAACCAATCAATGTTTTCTGGAAGGAACTGAGATGGATGATAAGAGAAAATGCATCTCTCTCTGCCATTAAGGACAGTGTAAGCAAGCCCAAAGTTTCTGGGGATCATCTTTTGCTGCCACATGGGAAAAGTCTGCTGGAGTCCAAAGTTTCCATATGGAGAAAATCAGAGATAGAAAAAAGTCTGGTGGAAACATTTGTTCCATCACTTTAACTAATATATTTTCTCCCTTTAATTTATATTTTTGTTTCTATTTATTGTTTTTTGCATAGTTTGAATTTGGTTTCAGTCATTTACCATCAAGTGGATATGCACTAAGAACATTAAGACTGCCAGTAAGTCAAGTAAGACTCAACATGTAAACTGCATTAATTAGTCAAGAAGATTGTCTCTTTTACTTGAGATTCTAGTTTGTTTGCTGGTTTGGCAATCATAGTATAATAAATAACCAATTTGCAGAGATTATTTGTTATACAGGTTTAAAGTTTCATTAAAATACCAACTATACACTATTGACTAATCCTGTTTCAGAACTGAGTGACAGAATTAAAATTACATATATATGACCAATCAATTCTACTCCTACACATATATCCCAGAATTGAGTAAATATGTACAACAAAAGATAACCTCAAGAAAGATAATAAATTCCCTGTTTAAAATAACTCTAAACTGGAAAAAATTCCAATGATGACCCCTATGATATTCAAACAACAGACTACTATTTAGCAATGCTGTGTTTGTTAAACAAAAGAACCCAAACACAAAGAATATATACTGCATGATATAATTTATTTAAGTTCAAAACCAGGCAAAATTATCTTATTGTGTTTGCAGTCAGGACAGTAGCTATTTCTGAAGCACAGGAAGGGGGTAAAGTGATTTTACTGTGATGGTACAAATGATCTGGGTAGTGATTACACACATATGTTCATTTTGTGATAAATTACATACGTTATTTATTTGCTCTTCTATATATTTCAGTAAAACAAAATATCTGTTCTACATTAATATTTCTCTTATCATCCATCTCAGTTCCTTCCAGAAATATACAATATACAAAGATCAATGTCATTATCATGTATCAACAATAGTTTATTAGACACTGTATCCAGGGGGCAAAATGGGAGGAACATTTTAAAAAGGTATACTTAAGTATTAAACACACAAATTATCCGTCCATGATAAGGTCAACTACAGTATATTTACATAAATGAGAAAAAAAAGCAAAAAGTTAAATCTTTATGACATTGTTTGAGGCTTATTTTCCCTTTAAATGGAAGACGGGTTAAAATACATACAAAAAATCGCAAAACCTCCTTTTTTTCCTACAAGTTACATAGAGATTCATGTAAATACAAAATAAGTGTGTGTTGGGGGGAGGGGGGTTCTTAAAAAATAAGCACCAAATCGATAATCGTGGAAAGTCAGCTCCTGGGAAAAGATGTAGAACCAAGCATTTCTTCACAATTTTTAAAGAAAATAGCGTTATTTGCGAATTTAACTTTTTTAAATAACAAAAATTTAAAAAGCAGCCTGGGTCATTTGTTAATATGTTGCTCAGTGGTTGCGGATATTGTCTGGCCTGGAGACGTGGATTCACAAGTCATTCGAGCAAGGATTAAAGGTAAACTAAAGGCTTGATGCCACTGCCAGGGGGAGGAAGAGGGAGGGAGTGGGATGGGAGTCTGAAGTGCTGCTACGGAGGCCACGTATTTTACAGTTCACAGCATCATAAGCTGAAGTACTACGTGATGCTCTTGGATACAGTCTCAAGGCAGAGTTGAAACGGTCAAATCAAAACGCACCCAGCTGACATTCCCCGAGGAACGCGAGCGCCCCCCACCACATTCGCGCGCCGATCCTGCTTCGGCGTCGAAGCAACGCGCGTGCGTAAGAGATTACGCAAGCGCGCAGCGTTTGCGCACGCGCACAACCGCTCGTCCGCGCATCTCTTCTTTTGCCGAAAGCGCTTTGCAGGAGACTGAGCTGTTTCAACAATGTCGGAAATGGCAGAGCTGTCCGAGCTGTATGAAGAGTGCAATGACCTACAGATGGATGTGATGCCTGGCGAGGGTGACCTTCCGCAGATGGAGGTAGGCAGCGGGAACCGGGAGCCATCCCTGAGCCCCTCCCGCAACGGGGCCCCGCCACAGCTCGAGGAGGAAGGCCCAATGGAGGCGGAGGAGGCCCAGCCAATGGCGGCGCCAAAGGGGAAACGCGGCCTGGCTAACCGGCCCAACCCTGGGGAACAGCCGGGCCAGATCGCGGGCCCAGACTTCGAGAGCGAGGATGAGGGCGAGGAATTTGATGACTGGGAGGACGACTACGACTATCCCGAAGAGGAGCAGCTGAGTGGTGCGGGCTACAGAGTGTCAGCCGCCCTTGAAGAAGCCAACAAGATGTTTCTGAGAACATCCCGAGCAAGGGAGGCAGCCCTGGATGGCGGGTTTCAGATGCATTATGAGAAGACCCCGTTTGATCAGTTAGCTTTTATCGAAGAGCTTTTTTCACTTATGGTGGTCAATCGTCTAACCGAAGAACTCGGTTGTGATGAGATTATTGATAGAGAGTAGTTTAATGCAGATAAGAGGAGGAAACTACTTGAGGAGAGACCCAACTTTCCGCTGTTCTTTGGGTTCATTCCAAATCGTTCTGTGGCAATGAAAAACTTGATTCGGGAAAAAAAAAATTGGTTTTTGTTTTTCAGAATACAGGACAATAGGACAGTGATTGCACAGTTGTGAAAAAGACAAAGCATCATGAAAGAAAAGGGGTCTTAAGACTGTTGAAATCTGTTTTCCAAGAATGTCCTGAAACACCTATGGCTTTGACTTTGTTATTGATCAAGATTATCCTTCCACTGGGGAAGATATCTAGTCTGTAAAGAAGGTTTTACAAGAGTGAATCATGACCAAGACAAACTGCCAATACAGGAGCCCACTGATACGAATTCTAAGAGGGGAAAAACAAAAAAACATACAAGTTATTTGGACTGAAAAACGWGTAGAGAAACTCAAAATTCTACTTAGTGATCTAGCCAAGTCATGGTTATCAAAGGCTAAATTTGGAGTGTAAGATGAATTGAGTATTCATTTACGAAAGGATAAGTGAATTAAAATATATGTATCACATATGCTATATCTTAAAATGTGTTTCCAAGAGCATCTGAAATTTTGTACGTGTATTTTGATCATTTATAAAACCGTGATCTATTAATCCAGGAAAATCTATTGACATGACTTTTAAAGTAAAAATGTCTTTTTACAGAGTTTCAAATTTTGACATTAAAATGTATGTGAAAATACCAAAAAGACAAATTATTTCTAATATCCTTATATACTAGGGAAGTTTTGTTTTGCTTGCTGATTTTCGTTTAACTTGACAGGTGAAAGACTTTAGTTGAACTTGGTATTGTAACAACTGTTGGTGAAAATTGTCAAGTGAAAGGAAAGCCCTCTACTTTAAAAAGACTGTATGCACAATAATTATGCTGTCAACCTTTGAAGGTTTTAAACCTGCTCAGAAATTCACCTCAGTATCTGAAGTTTCCCTCTGTCTCCTCCTCTAATTAAACTTGTTATTCCTTATGCACCAGCATTGGAGATAATAAAATTTCTTGTTCTGTGTATTTTGTTTGGCTATTAGTATTGCGTATGTACTTTGTACACTACTTTTTATTGTATGTATCACTACACCCACTTTGTGGTTTAAACAGCCAGTATTTTAAGAGGAAATTATCTGTCTGCAAATTTACAAATTAATTTCTGGAAATAAAACAATTACTACCTATAAAATTTTGCCTACCTAAGGAAACCTGTCCTATCAATGAGTATGTTGCATGGTTATCAAAAACCAGAAGTTCCATGCAAGTAAGTTGTCAGAAGGCTATGCCAAGCAATATGAGTATACCAGCAGGTCTTACCATGAACAATAAAAGGGTTCCACAGATGGCAGTTAAATACAGATTCAGTGTAATAGGACCACTCATATCCTTACTTTATAGCCATCCTGTCTTTTGGCGTGGGGGAGTCCAATAAAATAGAGGACTGACAAGGATAATGAGATCAAACATTGGCTTGGTTGAAAGGGAAGGGAAAGATGGAGGAAAGACAGAAAAGAGGTAAATGTTGGTCCTTAATCCTACTACCTCCCCAATACCTTGGGTCTTCCATTAATTTCTCATCTAACTTGTAGCTACAGTCAGGTGAGTCTGGGACTTGGGGTGGAGGGATGCCAGTGTACAATAAAYACGATAAGTAAGACAGGCTCAAAAAAGAATCTACAAACAAGTTGAAATTGTTTCTGGGACTGAGTACAGAGCAAGGGATGGGGTGCAGGGAACTACTCCYTGTTGCTTTTTGTGGGGGAGGGGGGTTACTGGGGATTGAACTGGGGCATTCAACCACTGAGCCACATCCCCAGCCCTATTTTGTATTTTATTTTTAGATAGGATCTCAATGAGTTGCTTGGCACCTCCCACCTGCTGAGCCTGGCTTTGAACTCATAATCTTCCTGTCTCAGCCCCCAGAGCTGCTGGGATTATGGACATGTGCCAGGGCACCAGGCTTCCTGTTGCATTTGTAGGTTCATCTTGGGGAGAAAGACCTGGGCTCTGAAACTGATGGTTTGTTGCTCTTAAAAAGAACCAAGAACAGTAGCACAGGCCTGTAATCCCAGTGACTTCAGGAAACTGAGGACGAAGGATTCCAAATTAGAAACTAGCCTCAGCAACTAGTAAACTGTCCCAAAATGAAAAATACAACTGGGGATGTTGCTCTGGTAAGGTGCCCCTGGCTTCAATCCTCAGTAACATACAAGCTGAGACCACTGAAATAGTTGTTCATATTTACTGAAAATAAAAAGTTAACATATTCTAATTTGTGTATATATATATATTTATTTATTTAATGTTAAGGTGGCAAAATGGAACCAGACTGCCTGATTCAAATTTGGGCTCTACTAAATTACTTCAGTAACAGTAAATTCAATCTCTCTGGTTGGGTCCTAAACTGAAAATAGTAATTGGATGTGCCTTACAAATTGTGAGGATTAAATGCATCTATATGTATGTATAAAATACACATACAAAAGATACATATTATATATGTATATATATATGTGTGTGTGTGTGTATATATATTATACACACATATGTATCTTCATTTAGTGGAAACAAGAAAGGAGTTCTGGGGTATTCTGATTTTGCAAGGGGGAGGGGATTTGGGGTGAGATTAGAGAATTTAAAGGAGTTTAAACATACAGAGTGTGATTGGGGTTGTCTATTTTCCAGATTGTGTGTATGTGTGTCCCCATAGGTATTATATTTCCTTACATCAGATGTCCCACATTTGCTCACCCAGGTCTATTTTGTTTGGCTCATGCTAATAATTTAATGAAAGACCAATATCTCAATTCAGAGGTAGCAGCTAAAAACACAGGTTTTCAATTTTTATTTTCCCCAAAGTGGGATATATGCCAGCCCTTAAATAGTCCTCTGTTGCAAAACACATCTGATTCACCTTTAGGAAAGGTGTTGTGTTTGCCAGGTTCTCCAGTGTCATCTCCCCATTATAGTGGCAAGTAGCACTCACCATTTATCATTATTCTTGCACCCTTATTTTTTTCTTGTGCCTGGACAGTTTGCATTGCCTGGCTGCCCTCTAGGTATTTGAAGTTGTTTCTTCTCGTAGAGACTAAATGATATATCTATTTCTCAATGACGTTTTTTTAAAAAATCTGTTTATTACTCTTCTCAATTTAATAGCTATTAGAGTTAGTGACAGTTTTAGAAATGAATCAAGAATTGGTGGGAATGGGAACTACTGAGACTTACATTTTTGTTTAAGGTCCTAAAATATTATAGTATTTATAGTTTCACTTTATTTATAGTTTCACTTTCCTCAGTTACGTTACTTGTGGTCAACTGCAGTCTGAAAATTTCTGGAAAATTCTAGAAATAAGTGATTCAAAATTTTACTGYACACCATTCTGATTAGCATGATGAGATTTCATGCTATCCTGCTTGATCCCATACAGGACCTCAATCATCCTTTACCCAGCATATCCACATTGTATACATTACCTGCCCCACAGTAACTTAGCCCTTTCATTATCAATGAATCCACTATCATGGTATCTTGGTGCAAATAATCCTTCTTTTACTTAATGCCACAAACAAAATAGTAGTAAGATAGGCAATTTGGATATGCCAAAGAGAATTCATATAGTGCTTCCTTTAAGTGAAAAGTTGAAAGTCTTTGACTTAATAAAGAAAGAAAAAATCCTATGCTGAGGTTGCTATGATCTACCTTAAGAACAAAACAGTATATATAGGCTTTGGTTTGCACTGGGGTTTCAGGCATGCACTGGGAGCTTGGAACTATTCCCCACAGATAAGGMAGAACTACTGTATTAAAGTATGTCAAGAAAGACTGTTGCTTGTCAGATGTGGTTGGCTCATGCCTGTAATCCCAATGGCTCAAGAGGCTGAGGCAGGAGGATTGAGAGTTCAAAGCCAGCCTCAGCAACATAGTGAGAGGCACTTACCAACTCAGGAAGACCCTGTCTCTAAATTTTTTTCAAAAAAGGGCTGGGGATGTGGCTCAGTGGTTGAGTACAAAGGTGCAATCCCCTGGTACCCAAAACAAAAACAAAAAATAAAGCCTATTGCTTAAATTTTAAAACAAGGAATATATAAAACTCATATAACTTGCCTTTCCAAAATGTATTTTCTCACCCCCAAATATGGTAGTTGTTTAAACATTACACGTTTAATACAATTTTATTTTCTGCTTCTGAAGCACTATGAAACATCTTCTAGGAGTAAATGTTTATATTCTTAATGATCTCAGTGACTGAAGATAAATGGAGCCACCTAAACAATAGGTGTTATCATCTATTCATATATCCATAAACTTGAACCTCTTTATGTTTTCATTCCATAGTGTATCTTTAAAGGCTGAGAAGAGTGGGGAGGCATTAGCATTTCTTTTTATTTATTTATCTTAGAACTTCCAGGGAGAGCTTTCTTTAAAGATTTAATTAAWAAATCCTTTTCTCATGCTACATTTATAAGGTCTCTCTTCTTTRCTGCCTTCATTCCTTGAACATTTTAGTTGCCCTTCCCATGAGATACATAAAGTTTCTTGAATTGAAGCATTCATGTTGGTACATCTCTACCTTCTTCCACTAGTCATCTCYCAGCACTGCAGAATAACTCAATATCAGCTCCTGAGTCTGAGATCATTGAGATCCTAACTTTGGTCCCCACTCCAGCAGCAGGCTGAACACAAACCCACTTAATGCTATTATTACCAGTGTAGAAAATATGTGAGCTATTCTCAGAGATACATCCTTGCTATAGCTACTGGTAGTAGAAGTTACCCATGCCCATTCTTCCTACCTTTGTTTGGACTGAAAAAAAAAAATGATGGGCATGTAGTTATGCCACCTCTAACTGCTGTGAATTRAATAAGATAGTAAAGGAGAAGTAGAGGCTGAAAATAAACTATGCCCATCACATGAACAATAATTCTATTCTTCATAAATTCAATTCCTTTCAAGCACTATTCAAAGGGACATTTCTAAAAACTAATCATTCAATTCTGCACATAGGCTGTCACCATGATATTTCCAGCTTTTCCTACTCTTCCTGCCTTACAAAATTCTGAGGTAATTCAAGAGCTTCTAAATTCATATCATGACCGAAAGCATTGAGCCTCTATGGTTATCATGTACAAGGGTGAAAACTAAAACTAAATTTTATAGCCACAGAACTCTTGAGGTCAAAGCATATGAATGACTTAATGAATGTTTCATCTTCCACCCAGATGCTTTGCATCTTCCAGGTTGGTACAGGACAAAATGTTATGCTATCATTATACCAGTGGTATCACCTCTCTTGGACAATCAGTCAAGAACCAACTAGATGGGAATCTATTTTGAATTATTTCATATCAA